TTCAAATTATTTCTTAGTGAAAGCAATTTAAAAAAAAAATTAACCATGGAAACCACCAGAACTGAAAGTCAAAAACTGCTCTGGATCAAACTGGTGACTCAGCATACTGAATGGCTTGTAAAACTTCATTAGGAATGTGGGCTGGTACTTCCTTCAAAAGAGTCTCTCTTAATAATTGATTTTTGGCCGCTCTTCCTCTTTTCTTACCATCCACAGCTATGAACTGGCCTTCAACACACAGAGGCAATACAGTAGCTGCCAACATTTGTAAGTAATTATAGGGAGGTTTTACAAGGGGAAGATGGACAGTCCTTAACTTACACCAAAGTGCCACAGTCTCAGTGAACCGATAGAAAAAAATAACCAAACTCTCTAGAGAGTTTTGGAAGCAAAGCCATTACATTTTTGCCTGGAAGCGTGGTTTAACATCAAAGTCACAGTACACACGTGATAGAGAGCAACATAAGACACGTTACTGAGGCCAGGCAAGCTGAAAAAATCAAAACATGCTGGTTGGTTCCTCAAACAGAAAAAGGATCAGGGACAGAGAAGACAGCAGTGACAATGCAGCTGGTGCTGTGCAGAGCAAGTAGGGATTTGGCAGCACAGTTCCTCTTCAGATCAATTCCAAAGCAGCAGCCTCACAGGAGCAGTACCAGCAAAAGTACTCAGTCCCCATTTCTTTAACTGCATATAAACACATGTACTGAACCATATGCTCTTTTTTACTACAAGACATAATACAAGTAATCAAACTCTATCACCTTTGTTAATCCTATAAAGTGCTTTTGATTAAAAAATTGCTCCCTCATAACAAGATGAAGTGCTACTCAGGACAACAGAAGTATAAACCCCATTAGGTAGCCACCCTAAGCACCTTTCACACCCAGCAGAGGAGATAGGCTTATAGCCAATGCAATTCACAGCACTAGGCTTCCTAAGGTAGGCACTTGCATTTGCTCAAATATGCCTGGCCTCTCAATCAGCTAGAAGGTTCTCACTCACTGAAACAGATGCCTAGACAGCTTGCTCAGGTATTGAAACAGCTAAGCAATAAGGTTCCTACCCAAGATGACAGAATCCATCACCAGTAACACCTGCTTGTACAAAGGAAATGAAATGGATTCAACTAATTCATGAAAGCTCACTATCATATTTTGAAGTCACACCAAGTAATTCTGAGAAACTCAACCTACTTAACCAATGTCAAGAGTAAGCTGTATGTCCACCACTGCAAGTACTAGTTATGCAGCTTCTCCACCAGTTAACGTATTTTAAACACATGTGCACACTCATTTCCTGCTTTACACATCTTCATGTTCACTAAAAATAACCATCATTTTACAGTTCTCTCAGTTTATCAAAATCAAAACCACAGCATCACTGCTTAGGAAATTTTAGTAGTCTTAAATTTGTTTTCAGTTTGCCAAGTCTGTGTTACACTTCCCTTTAACTGATCAAGGCGACAGATGTGAGATCCCAGGGTATGACTAAAACTGACAGAGTTTGCATGTGACAGAGCTGAATTGCACTCTATAAAGAATTTCCCCATTTGAGTTACTCTCCAATTTTAAGAAAAAGTCTGATCACTCATAATGTTTAAACAAGCAAAGCAACAGACAATATAAACATTTGTTCTACCTAGACTTCACAAATCAAAAACACCAGCATAATAATGCATTTCCACAAAGATGGTTTTTACAACGTGACTAAATATTGAGCCAGCATAAAGAGAAGAGTGCGAAAACACAAGGATAATACCAATGAAAATACAGCAAGTGTCATTTTGGAGATCCAGTCAGTCTTATGATCTTATTTTATTCTTAAATAACAGAATATTCTCAAATTAGAAAAAAATCCTCTTCTCACTTTAAAGTGCAGAAAAACGACTGAAACAGTTGCACTATATATTCAATTATAAAGTGCTGCAATAAGAACATAGAAATATTTAACGTACATCGGGTGACCTTAACGTCAAATACATGAAGCAAAACCCCACGGTTGTAAGTTTTCAGTCTCTGATCAGCTGCAAACATAACTGTTCTCCTAAAATGGATTAGCAAGGGCATAAAGCAAAATTTAACTCTTAGTCTTCATAACTTCCCTGCCCTCACATGTCAAGAACAATTCTCCAACTTTATTTTGCCTGCAGATCTACAACCACAGAGTACCACTGCTCTTCAAAGGCCAGTCAGATTCTGGAACAGCTTCCAGTATCATTGAGAACACTGAGGGGAAAAAAATTACTCATTAGCAAAGAATCTGTAAAGGTCTGCTGATAACAGACCAGGCCTGGGTTTCAGCAGATCAATGCTTGACCAGTAACAGCCAAATGAGCACCAGCAAAAAGCCTCTCAGCAGTACCTTCTTAAGTATTCCCATGCAACACAGTCACCTCAAAAACACACATAAAAGGTGGAAGAATATAATATTTTGCATGCAGGCCTGAAGAGTTCTGTGTCCCTTTTATACTGTTTATTTTGTAGTATTTTAATAGTATTTAATTTCAGAGGCAAACAGCATGCTCAATTTTGGCAGGAATACATTGACAGACTATTACTGTGTAATCATGGAAAGAATTACACTGACATCAAAACCACAATTATTTAGTTGTATGAAATCCAGAAAGTGTAGCCAGAAATTTCAGTTTTCAAAACCAAACCTGCTCCACAGTAATGTTTATGCTCTTAGAGAGTGGTATCAGTGCTAAAAAAAGGCAAGGACACTGATCCACAGCCTAAGATAGTGTGTCTGTTCCTTATCTTTCCAAAAGAGAAATCTCAATTAAAGGGAAGCTATGGTTCATCACCAGTATTACTGATTAAGCCTAGCCATTGCTAATGCACCTAAACAGTCTGCATGCACCAAACATTAGGAAAAAAATAGACCAAATAATCACACCCCACTACAGTGTGCCTGCAATTTGATAAGTAGCAACTTAAATGGTCAGATATTGCTACCCAGTTCCAGAATAGCACCAGCAGAAGTTTACAGGTAAGATCTAGAGTAGCAGTCAGGAAGGACTGCAGCATATCAAACTAGAAGCATAAAAATAGGAACAGTCAGGAGTATTTCCTGCTTGACTTAGGGTTTTATGTTCTGCAAGACATATATACCAATCTATATGCCTTGGGAAGGGCTTATTTCCATTCATAAAGTGGTAAATATCCTCAAGCTACTTCTGGCATGGGTTCAGACATCATAGGATACAAACAAAAGAACTGTTTACTGTTTTCTAAATTGGGAGTTGGGTGGGTTAAGGCTTCCATTGCAGTATGGAGACATGTTACCTCAAGCTGCCTATGAATACACAAGAATAGTTACAGGATACCTGACAGCATAACCAAGAGCCAAGAGGCACATATGTAATGGCTATGCAGGTATCAGATGTGCAGCAGAAACAAGGCATCTCCTCATTATAGCAAAAGCACTCAGACATTTAACGTGGCAAATTTTTTCCTTCTGCATTAGAATTCACCACACAGGCTGTAGGAATTCTCCTTTAAGAACTTCCAAGCAGAAGTAAATCGGTCAAATGACAGCTAAAGGAAAGCCCTACAGAAACAGTTCATAAAATTTGACTATATCTTACTAAATTTTATAGTTAGTCAGATTTTTCTAGCATGAGTATATTTTCTTCCTGTTATTTCAAAGGTGTTCAAGCATGGCAAATGCAGCATTAGCTGGTTTATCTACTTGGAAACTCTTTGCAAAACACCAAGATCTATGGCATTCCACAGCCAAGGCAAGTACAACTTTGCAGCTGACATACCTGTTGGATCACTGTGCTTCCGAGCATCACAACAGAGTAGCTGACAATATCACAACACCTAACTGACCAATTTGACTGTACAAGGCAAGCTGTACCATTATTCAACAAAATGGAGTTGTTTCGGGTACAGTATCAAATGCTCCTCCATCATAGTTATCACAGAACTAACTGCAACCAGATCAAAGTCATGTTAGACTTAATTTGATTACTGCCAGATGACACTGTTGAGTTACAAATCAAACTTCAGGTTTCCCATTAAAAAATAATAAAAAAGAAGAGGAAAGGAGACTTTAACAGGAAATACTCCTGAAGAAGGAAGCTCGCCTTAGGTACACTGCTTTGTGCATATTTGTGACTAAAGAAAAATTGTTACAACATTTACACTGAGGAAGTTCAGTTGCTTAACACCACATGTAAAAAGCACGGGTGATACAAGATAAGCTAGTTTACATCAACTTGTTTGGCAGGCTTTACAAAAGGTTCATTGTGGATTTAGATTGCAAAGCCTGTGCACACCCAGAAAGGAACAAGCTATAAGGACTTTCCAGTAATAATAACAGGCAACAGGAGAGAATTCCACTCTTTCACCTCACCTTCTACAGTTTTGCTTAATTGAAAGTTTTGGACTTAACTGCATCCCCCAATTCATATACATATGATCCAAAGGAATTCCTCAGCTGAGGTTCTGGGGGGAAAATAAAAAAAATCAGTGGACTCATATGAAAGGGGCAGGAGGTAGCAAAAATAATAAAGAAAAAAAACTTTTATTTTGCTCACTTGGCCAAAAAGCAACCAAAGTAGCAAGAGATTTAGAGCAAGAGAGAGCATATACCCATCAAAGAGGAAACTGGACATCTACCATGCTGACTACCTGCTCTTGTGCCATTATTCACTCAGTGCTTCAAGGAAACCATGCTTTCCAAAATAAACCTGAGTTGTGCTACAACAGTGTAGGAGAAACTGAGCTGACAAGTTTGTAAGAACAGTTACTTAATCAGGATGCTACTCCAGACCCAGAACTCTCAAGAAGTTGGGATAAAGTTGCTAGAAATTGCCAAGAGAGAGAAAGTACTCCCTGCCCCCCAAACTAAATTAAAGTATAGGTAAGTGCAAAGAAACTCAGCCTTGGTACTCCTCAAAGACATGAGGTGAGGGCAACAGGAAGCACCACTAGGATGAATACCAGTATCACAGATGCACTGAAAAACCTTTTATTCAACATTTTATTTATTATTTATAGGGATCAGAGTAGTAGCTTTCACAGTATCTCTCACATAGGCCATCAGCAGGATCAAGCACTCCATTTTCCTTGCCCTTCTGCATAGCTATCTATTTTCTAAGAAACTGGCTCCCTTGTGCAGAAAGCTCAACAGTCAAAATGATCTGAAAGAGACAATCAGAGGGGAAAAGAAGACAAAAAGTTAGTGGGAGAAGATGAAGTCATAGGGAGGAGATTTTTACAGGAGTTCTCTATTCAGATTGGGTTGGCTGTACATACACAGAGAAGACAATGCTTCAGCTCTTTAAAACTTTAGGAAAAAAAGAAATACAGGTTCTGTCTATGCCAACAGTCACCAATCTTCATTAAATTAAAAAAAAAACAAAACCAACAGATAAAGACTAAGCAAGAAGTATGTTGCTAGCAATAGGATATTCTGTTCTTCTTGTCAGTCTGGGCAGCAGTGGCAATAGTGCCCCTATCCACAGCATTAGAAACTTTCATAAGAAATATTGCTTGAAGGAAGTCATCTTCCCAAACCCAGTTTGGTTACCATGTGTCTATCTGTTTCGTATCTTAACACCATTAACGTGAACTTTAATATTTTATTTTTCCTGCAATATTTTCACTATTTTATCTACTTTCACAGCAGGTACACATCATAGTACACAGTATCTTATAATTCCCTTGCTGTTCACAATGTTTTTTGATCCATATCCTGTATATATTGTGTTCAAACACAAAGGAATCAGATTGACTGCACTGGTCTTTGAGTTAAAAGCATGCTAGCTGAGCCAGGCTACCAGAACTTCCCTCTCTAGTATACAGCTAAAGAATAGACTTAATTGGCAGTCACAAACACTGAGCAAAGCTGTACAAAGACGGAAGTTAATACATCAAGACACACATGAACTAATCCTGTATGAGTGATACTTTTTATCATTAATATCTTCTAGCTTACTTACGTTCAAACGCCAACATTAACTGCACAGTTCTGAAAGGCAATGGAATACAGTTGGGCTCACCTGGGCAGGCACAGACCAGCCAAAGTCCCAGATTCCCAGTTCTCAGAGAAGACAAAAGTCCCATCAGTCTGCAAATGTTGTAGAGTATAAAACACATATGAAAGAGTAAGGCATTGAACCATGTATTTATAGATTGCTATTAACGCACTAGTTGAATTAGACTATCTGGTAGCCCTCCTCTCTTCAAAAGGGAGTCAAGGCAACCAAAATTCAGGCATCTTTCTGCAAATAGGACCTCTGTTTTCAGGTAATATTCTAGTCTCCCATTTCAGTATTTGTTATACCACTTTTCAACGAAATACCTTTTCCTCAAGAGTTTTGGATAAAAGTCAACAGCAACACTTCTTATTTCTATCCTGTAAAAGGAAAAGACCTGGAATTATGTTTTAGGCAAGCTTAGGTTTCAGAGCCACTATTCATTTGTTGCAAAGTTTTCAAAAAGCCACTTATGCCATCTTGTCACAAACTGCAGGTGTTCAACTTCCAGTACTGTGGAAGAAATGCAGAATCATACAAGTTTACGTTGAAAGGGACCTCTGTGGATCACCCAGCTCAAGACAGGGTCAACTAGTGTAGATTGCTTAGGGCCATGTCCAGTTTAGTTTTGGATACCTCCAGGGACAGATACTCAACTTCTCCAGGCATTTTCTTCCAGTGCTTGGTCCCCCTCGACATTCACAACAACACAATCAAAAAAAACCAACCCCAAACGATACACACCCTCTCAAGTTTAAATGAAGTTTCTTGTAGTTCAGTTTGTGCCCAAGTTAAGTGTTCATAAATCTCTGTATCCTCAAACTATGATAAGGATGTTCAACACACCTGAAATTCTCACTCAAGACAACTCCTGGCTACTCAGAGACAAACTGAGATACAGTACCTGGTTTCAATTAAGACAATATTTGTTTAAATGAAAAGGCAACAATACTAATATTTAGCCTTAGCCAGAAGGCTATTTGTTTTAATAAAAGGCAGCAATGCTAATATTTAGGTTTAGTCAGTGTCAGCAAAAATTGTCCTCCTATTTCTATGCAGAAAAGCAACCCTTTCAATTTTATCCTTCACCGGGCAAACCAATGTCCTGTCTCTGGCACAAAAGGCTATAATGTTTCTCTGCATCTGTTTTTCAGGTATATACACATTCCCCAGTGACACAGATTCCCACCTTACCACTTGACCACAATACTGAAAGAAGCTTTCAAAAAAGTTTAAACTGTTTCCTTTACAACTCTCCTCCAAGAAATAAATTTATTTTAGCCACAACGTATTAAAGAGTTTTACAGTCACACTCCATATCACCTATTTGTTTCTTTTTTTTTAATACTAAGAAATAAGTAATGTTCTCTTATTATCGGTACTTTGCCCCATGGAGTCTGGTTTCATCTCAACAGTCAAATTTAAAAAAAAACAACAAAAAACCACCAATTTAACCTCAATTCACAACCGCAAATCTTGCTTCCTCAGTATCTTTCCCCTCTCTTTTGATACAGTTAACCTTCTTCAAACTATGAACTGTAACACCTGCCTCAAACTTGCAGTGCACATATATAGGAGTTTGGTGTGTTACAGGAATAGCAAAGGCTGTAAGCAACTGAACTTCTGATACCAGAAAGACAGAGGCAGACCCCAAGCTTTACCTACATCACCCAACTGAAAAGAATGTTCTTATATTTCTTCATGCACACTCTTCTGTCAGTTGTATTTTACACTATCTTGAACGTTCTGAGGTTGCTACCTTAAGTTTTGCCAAAACGAAGTTTTATTTGACAGAACTGCAGGCAAGGGAGCAGAAGCTGGTTCTAATGCAGCTACAGTAAGAACTCTCACAAGGCAGAAATGCAACTGCTTTCTTTATCTACAATTTGCACTAGCCTCTGGGCATATACTGGCACTGAGCTCTAATGCATTTCTTCATTCAAAACTGAGCTTTGCAAGTGCCTGTTGAATTATCTCAGTCTACAAACTCTTACCTTCCTGTCTCTCCAAGTAAATCAGGACAGAATCAGAGACGACATAGACATTTACTGCTCATAATCCAGAAACGGAGTGGGGAAAATAGAAACATCAACATATAACCTCATCATTAGGCTCAGACAGATTATTTCTTGGTGTTTCTCCAAGAAGTCAAATATCTAAATGCTTCTACAAGCATCAGTTTTGAGAAAGTCAATCAGACTGATTGCAGTGCAATCAGACATTCTAAAGAGATATTTAAATGCAATTTTAACAGACATTTAGTCACAATGTCTAGAAAACAATGCTGTCAAAAAGTACTGCTTTAGTGGCTTCCAGAAATAAGAGACAAGCCATATTTGCATATCTAGAATTACATTGTTAGTAATACTGGTATTCCAAAACGCCCATTTTTACAGAATAATTCTTCAAGGTACCAAGGTTTGAAAAGTCCAGCACATCTATATTGCATTGTGAAAGCACTCTTCCAATAAGAGTCACATTTGAGGTTTGTTTTGTTTTGCTTTAATACACACAACAGGCCTGTTTTATTTGAAATACTTTTCTTTAAATGAAGAAAAAGGTACCATGCATTATTCACAAGTAGTCTGCCAGCAGACCAATACCTACATGACACTTCAGAAATGTTTCATCCATCTAACCACAGCAACTGGCTCACTCTGGAAGTTATTTAAAAGAAAAAAAAAAAGCAAAGTGTGGTTCATCCCACTGCTGTGGTGTGAGAAAGAAGATAAGGGAAATCTCAATACTGCAAAAGGAGTATATAACACCACTGCCTATGTGCTTAGAGTCTCTTATCAGTAATGCAAGTGGTAGAATGATACCGATTTCCCTGTAACTCCACAGGCGAACGCAGGATTTGTTGAGGTTCATACATCTGCTTTGATTTCATAGAAACCAAGGTTCAGCCCTTGTAGCCAGAATGGTGTTTGAGTGCTGACCATACAATTAAGAAATTTGCTTTCCTTTGTGGCTTCACCATGCATATTGCAAACTCTTCCTTTTATGTGGCCAAAGGTCACAAACTCACTTTCCTATCAGTAACACATTTGCCCTTGCAGATACCTGTCCTTTTAACATATTGTATCTAGAAGAAAAGCAAGTCACCAGAACTGGTTTTGTTAACTGGTGCAGTAAGCAGGCAAACAGCACATATCTCCAGTCACTCACTATACAGGGGAACTGTGCAGACAGCCCATCCTCTTCTGGCACGCTGTAAGGTCTTATGAATCCCATTAAAAGTCCATTAATCAGAAGTCACAGTTGTACCACATCTCCCTGTTATGTTTCAGCTAAAAGCTGCATCGTCAGTCAATTTCCCCATTATCAAAACATAATCCTACCTGAGCTCAACTCTTTCTCCATCATAGAAAGAAAATTCCATCTTTTGTCAGTAGAAAAGATGGACAATCCACATGGTCATGGCTATACAGATGTTCTGAAAAATAATGAGTTGTCTGATTTCAACACTACGATAAAGCATGCTTGCTGTGGCATCATCTTAACCCAGGAAGGGCTGCTACAGTTCAAGCAGCACCTTCCTTGGCCCAAGAGTGCTCTAAGAACAAAAGCACTACTGTACATTTGCCTAAAATTGTCATGGTCCTGTTAGCTCAGTACTTACCTCCCACCAATCCTTGTTTCAGGTACCAGGTCACCACAGGGCCTTAGTTCAGCAAATATTCTCAGAGTACACTAGCCACACATAAACAAAAGCAGGTTCCTTATACAACGCAACTGTGCCAGCTCACCTTCTGCAGTAGCAGAAAGGGCTCAGTTTAAGTAAGGGGAGTTTACCACCTGATTCTGTTCTATATCATCTTCAGTCTGAAGAGATCTAAACCTTTATCTCCCACCTTGAAAGAGCACCGCTTTCAAGGAAGAATGTAAAACAAACCAAGTCTCTTTAGCCCCATAGTTGAAGTAACTGCCTGGGAAAGACAAAGCCTGAGCTCTAGCTTCCACTTCAGCATATTTTTACATTTTACACATAGTAATTAACTTTGAAAACATATGGCACTAGGATTTTCTCCAGGGAGGGGGACATGTAAGTCTGCCTGTTCTCAGATAAACAAAATCCAAGTGTCCCATTTCTGGGTGAGGCCTCTCCAAATAAAACAAAAGCTATTGCATAAAAATAAAGAAAGGGAGTGAAAGATGGTAAGGAACAAGTACTATGGTTACTTTCTTCAAAGTTCATCTAAGAAAAGAGGGACTAGGATTCCTGGCAGCAGATCTCAAAATTATGGAGAACTACAGAACCCCAGAAGAGGCCACACTCTACATAAAACTTTCATCTTAAGCCAAGAGTTGGCACAGTCCTCACTAAGGAAGCCCACCTCTCTCGCTAACTTTCATGTATCCCAGGCCTTTACTAGCTCTGGGTCTCCACACATTCCAATGCTAAATAATATGCCTTGCAAAGGTTAAGCTGAGAAGGAAGAGATGCTTTGAAAATAGAGAAAGTAACATAGAGAACAGAGTAGTGAAAGAATCACGGCATTGTAGCTACAGGTCTCTAACTTACTACCTTTGATGAAGAGAAATGTACTTCTGTCAACAACCTGGAAGACTTTTCACACAGCACCAAAGTAGTCCTTGGGAAAGCTCTGACTGTGCTCTTGCTAAAAATAAACATCAAGCAAAAGTGTTAGTATACAGAGATCATTAGTTTTTCCTCTTCTCAGTTACAATCTTGTCAGAGAGGTGCTTGGAGGGCTTTCCTCAGCACTGCTATTGGCACACAGCTGCTAACCCATGGGAAAAGTGCACCAAAAAGTCTGGCAAGAACACCTGAGAACAGGCATAATGAGGTGAAACACAAACAGTGGGTGAATGTTCAAAGCATAGTGCAGGTTCTCTTAGATAACACATGAAAACTGCTATGACACTGTATTGCCTCTGGATTTACTCCCTCATAAAAGTCCCAATGGCTCTTCTACTACCAAAAAGAGAGAAAAAAAAAAAAAGCAGTGAGAGAGAGCGAGCATTGACTAACACTGTCTCAGAGTGAAAGAGCAACATCTTCATTTTGACACGTATTTTTTTCACAATGCTCATGGACTTCTAAACAGCCCACATGAGCACCTCACAGTGGATCTGCAAGCATAAGGACCAGTCACAGGTGAAGGGGAAGAAGTTCTTCCATGTATGAAGCTGTCACTGATTAAATGCAAGCCATAAAGGAAAAATGCTGTTCCACTAGGATTCCAAAATAAGCATTAATGGTAACTATACCTTACTTACTTAACAGGTTATACCAATCACAGGACATGCACCCTTCAAGCAGAAGTCATTCAGTACCAGCACATTCCAAGAGATAAGCAAAGTGAAGGAGAGCAAACTTTTCCAGGTAGTGTGCAGTATCTACATTGCAAATAGGGTGTTCCTCAAATATGACTAAGTGTGTCCAGGACAACTTTCATTTAGCACCCACTTGCCAGCAAACATAGGGCAATGTGTGCACAAACAATCCAACCATCTAAGCTACCTGTTGGAAAAGTAGAAGCACAAGCCACAAACTGCATATATCAACCCTCCTGCATGTCTCACCAGGTTGAAACTCACCATCAGCACATCTTTTTTCACCAAACAGAAGGTGCTCCAAGGGAAACTGACTTCTTTTTCTTTCCATGTCACCTTTCTCCTGCACCTTCTGCTCAAAGCACCAGGACTCTGAAAGCATCGTTATCCCTACAAGTAATATAGCCAAAAAACTAGAAACTGCAATGAACATACATGAATAAAAACCAAGTAGCCTGGGGAGATGCTTTTGTCATCCATTCAGACTTGGGTATAAAGGAGGTACTGACTGTAAATGAACAGCTGTCCAGTGTGTCAAAGCAAGAGGTGACAAAACAAGTCTGCTGGGAACAAATCCGATGACAGGATGCCTCACATTTGCACTGCTACCTTCCCCACTGCAGACCATCAGGAGTAAGAGTCCCAACACTGGCTCCTTATACTGCCTTTTCTAGGTGCGGCTGCTTTCTCAGTGATGCTCCCTTCACACTTCATCTCAGTACAGGTTTAGCTGATTTCTCAGGAAATCCTGGTACAGGTTACTATACAACAGTCCAAATCCGAGACATAAAAGCACTGCACCTCCCCGCCTGGCACACACCGGCTGAAGAACACTCCACACTCCGGGGGCAAACATGCCCTACCCACGGGGCGGTGTGTCCGCCCCTGACCCTGCTGAGGGCTGTCAGGGGGAGCTCCAGACCGGCGCGGACTGTGCGGGGAAGCGGGCACCGGGCACGGTGCTGGAAACGCACACGCGGGGATGCGCCCCAGGGGCCCGGGAGGGAAGGAGGGAGCGAGGGAGAAGGGAAGGAGCGAGGGTCTCCGCAGCCAGCGAAGGCGCCGGGCAGACCCACGCTGAACCCTCCACCGCCGCCGCTCCCATGCACGGCCTCAGTCACGGTGGGTCTTCCCCATCCCCTGTCCCTGCGCCGCCGGGAGGGCACTCGAACGAGGGGAGCCCCCGCCGTTACCTGTCCGCTGATGCCGGTGATCAGAGCCACCTTCCTGCCGTTCATCTCCTCGCCGTCGTCTCCCGGTGCCGCGGCGGCGCCGGCACATGCCCCCTCCTCCGCCGGCTGTGCCATCCTCCCGGCGGCGGCGGCGGGCACACCCCAGGTGCAGAGGTATCCCGGGGCGGAGGCGCGGCCGCCGGGGTCAGGCTCGCGGTGCTGGGGGCGGGCACGGAGGGGAGGAAGGATGCCTGCGGCCACACGGGCACTACCTGCGCTACCCGGGCCGCCGCAGCCGCAGCATTTCCGCGCTCGCCTCCCGCCGGCGCACCCGTCCCGTCCCGCCCCGCCCCGCCCGCAGGTGCGGCCCCCCTGGCAGGCGCGCTCCCGAGGGGCGGCCCGGGAGCGCGCCCCGCGCTAAGAACGGCTCCCGCGGCGCGGCTCGGCCCCGCAGCCAATCAGCAGCCGCGGCACTTCCTTAAAGGGACGGGAGACGCGCCGGGGCCGAAAGCGGGCGCGGTGATTGGTTGAGAGCGCGCGGCGGTAGGCGTGGCCTGGGGGTCTTGCAGGAGGTGCTGGGCCGACATTTCCTGAGCGCGTGTCGGGGAGGGCGGAGTGGTCCCGCGTGAGGCGGTCGGGTCTGCGGCACAGCGCCCCCAGCGGCGCGGAGGGCACCGGGCGGGGAGGGTACACATGTGGTGCTCCTGGGCTTCCCGCCGGTTACAAGTGGCCCAAAGGCTTCCGGAAAAACGGGATTTGTAACAAATATGCCTTCTTCTCGTGAGATACTGGATCAGCATCCCGTTTCCCTAGGCAGCGGGTTGCTGTGTGTACAAGGAAGAAGATGCCTGCCCGCTTGCTGTTAATCCATGCAGGCTGTCGCACCAGTTTTCTCAATGTATGCTTGGATGATGGAGCCTCTGCATACGCAGCCGATTGTCTTACTATAATTTTTCTATTGTTACAGCTTACTATGGTGCATGGTCAAAAATTAGTCAGTGTCACTGAAAACCCGTTTCTTTAAAGAAATGTGGAGTCTGACAGCATATTGCCTTTCAAATGGAACTGTACTCTCAAATTGTGATTGGTTTTTTTTGCGTGCTACTACCCATGCTCTCAGTTTAAATCCCCTTTTTGCAGCCTCACTGTCTGTGATGCCATGGAGAAATTGTATTATGTCACAGTTACTTAGTTGCAATATGTCATCCCAATTGTATGTTCTCTACAATCTGCATCCTGATTCTGAAACCTTTTCCCAAGAACATGCAGTTTTATAAAATTGGCAACATGGAGTACTGCTTGTGAAAACTGATTTCATTCCACTAGTGATTGCTCTATGGGTGTGCAATCTCAGATTCAAAGAGGAGGGACAGCACAAATAATATGAATGCCACCCTCTCAATTCTAAAATGACACTGAAAAAATAAAAGGATATCAGATTTTGAGAATTTCAGGATTCCACTTACCAGAATAAGGGAAAAAACTTTATTTGAAAACCTAGGATTTGAGATTAGAGGGAGTTAGAGCAAGATTCCTTTCTCTACTTACTTATATACATTGTTCCCTCTCCTGTTAGATCTGAGCTGCGTAAAGCAATGCACGAGCCTTAAAAATTGTCCTTTATGTGGCCAGATAAGCTTGTCATTTCTAGCTTTCATTGGCAGTCCATTAAATGTGCTACAAAGTCAATATTGCTTTCTTTCTTCCTTCCTCTGCTCAAGAAAGCAGTGAGTAGGGCTGATAATGCCTAAAGTCTTGAAGCTGGGCTAGAGGAGCTCACATCCCTGGGGCCTACATGTGCAGTTAAGAGCCTTTTTTTGATTACTTTCTCCAAGCAGAATTTCTCTTACCCCAGTTGTCCAATATCCCCCCAAGAATTATTTTTCAGATGTAGCATTTTCCTTGACTGTTATTCCCAAAAGCGCTCCACTGAGCAGGGAAACTGGTTCACACCTTTAAAAAATTATGACCTTGTGCAAGGTTTTACTCTCATATGGCAGACACCTTTGGCTCTTCCCCTGGTCAGAGCAGTAGCTTTCCTTCCTGTTCAGTGTGTGCACTCCCGAGTGATTCAGAGCAAAAGACTCTGCAATGTCTGTCACTTTTGTAAGGGAAGCACCTCAGCTTTAGCTGAGACTTAGCTGAGAACACTTTAGCAGGGTTCATACTCGTATTTTTCATCAATACTAATACTAGAAACAGGTAGATGCAGCGAGACAGGATGCAGCCCAGTTCAGGTTCCAGCTGACTAAAGAAAAAAAAAAGGGAAAAAAAAGGAAAAAAGGAAAAAAAAGGAAAAAAAGAAAAAGGAAAAAAAAAACTTGTTTAAATTTCTGTCCTGTTTATAAGTCTGGCAGTAGCAGAGTAGTTGCAGACACTGTTAGCCAGCTACCATAATCCTTCTAGGTCTGCCCCTGGCATGCACAGGCATATTCCAGGTTTAATGCACAAAGACTGTTCTGTCACCAAAGTCTTCCAATGTACATTTACAGAAGAGACTGAAGGCTCATTTGTGGCCCAGGTACTAGATTTTACCTAAGTTGCTCTGGTGTTGACAGCAATTTGTGTCAGATTGCAGCTGAAAACTGGACCAGCATCCCCCAGGGACTCCAGGATTAATATTCACTCTGAGCGTTAGCCTGCACTGATGACTCCTTGCTGCCTCCAGCACCTGTACCATTGCATGTGCTACCTTACTTAGAGCTGTGTCTGCCCACACTATAATCACTATTTCACACATCTGTGTGGACCTGGTTCCACCCTCAAAAAAACTGGTGAGGCCTTCACATAAAGAGGAGACAGCAGAGTGGTACATATCTGCACCTCTAGCCCCTTTGAATCCCCATAAGAGGAGATGCTTGTGTAAGCATGGGTGTCCAGTAAAAATTTTATGCCCAGCAAGTACACAGTCTGAGGAGACAAAAAGAATAGCATGTGTAACATTATCTTTAAAGCTGCCCCCCCAAGAATTGGTGATAAAGAGATAGGACAAATGCTAAGAAATTTTCTTGGTGGTGGGTAAAAACATGTATCATGGGGAAGACAGAAGGATGGAGAGCATAATTGATTGAATCAAGCTGGTTAAGCCAGGAAATAATGTAAAACGAGCAAGAAGAGGGAAATTGGAGAGAAAATAAATGTCATTGAGAGGAAGGAAGAAAGGAGTAATAGGAGGAGAAGTGTAGTGTACACTGAAGTGCATTAGATTACAAAAAATAGCATCTTACATATTAAGGGAAAGTTAAAACGAGGGAGAACATACATACACTGAAACTTTATTACACTTGAATACCACATATATTGCAATCTTGATGATCTCCATGTTCAATTGGGGATGTGGCTACATTGCTTTTGGAATTTGGAAAGGTAACTGTGTGGTTTAAGAATCTCGTGTGAATCGATTCTAAGTGCTTTCAGGAAATAAGTAACCTTACTTTAACTTCAGACGTAGAAATAGCTGATTTAAAATGCTGGTTTTATTCACTGTGGGATAAAGGTATCCCTAATTTATTACAGTAATAGTATAATTCATACTATAACTGCAGTAAAAGTTGACGTAATAAGACTGTATCCTGTTCTGTACAGGAGTTAGAAGTTGTCCTCTTTCTTCACATCACTCAGTGCAACAAAGGGGAAAAGTGATTATTTTTGTTTTTTCTGAGATTCTTCTGAATGATCCACATCCGACAGTTTAAGCAACTTCCACGTCATACGGCTGTGAACTCCACTAGAGCAGTGTCCAGGGATCACAGAAGAGCACTGACCAGAATACATGGCACTTTGCTTACCTGCAGCTAGAGAATACTTTGGATCCTGTCCCCAGCTGTGAAGTCCGTGGTGGCATCTAGAGGTTGTTCAAAACGCCACCATGGGTGGTTTGGGGACTGCAGAAAGGGAGCCAAGGGAGGACAGGTAGTGTATCTGAGTGCACTTTCCTTTCTGAGGAGCTTTTAGTTTATATAGGCAGGCAAGCGAGGGGACTGGTAGGCTCAGAATAAGGCACTTTAGAAATAGTTTCTTTTTCTACTTTGTTGCTTTAAAGTAATGACGGAAAATAGTTGTATTCATTGACTTCACAGATCTAGGGAGGTGAGGAAAGGATGTGGAAAAGGAGGGAAGGGTGAGTCCAGGGGAGATCCATTACAATGTGAAAGTGCAGATGTTGGAGTGAGAGTAAGCAGTCATAGAGGAAAGAGTACCAGATCTCATGAGGAAGTAAGGAGAAGTGAAGAGCGGGCAGAGGCAAGAGGATGAAAGGGAAGG